TTTTTTTGGTGGAACCGGGAATTGAACTCAGGCTCTTGCGCTTGCCAGGGGAGCGCTTATTCCATTGAGCCATCTCCCTGGCCCTTAAATTAATTTTAAATTTTGTTTTATTTCTTTGGTACAGGGTCTTGCTACACAGCTCAGACTCCCAGTGATCCTCCTGTCTCATCCTCCCCAGTGCTGGGATTATAGGTGTGTGCCACCATGTCAGGTTTTGGTGTGGCTGGTTCAGCACACCCTGGGTTCGGGGCCAGCACAGCATGCAGTACCAGGGATCAAACACGGGTCCTTGCGCTTGCCAGCTCATAAATATTAAGTAGTAAATGTTTATATTTTACTTGTATTATACCTCCCACTATAGTATATTATTTATATAATTATATTTATCTGCATGACTAATATAAATATGAATAAGTAAATAAATATATGATATGGAGCCGGTGAGATAGGTCAGCGGACTAAGAGGCTGCCTAGGCAAGCGCAGGCACCGGGGTTCGATCCCTGGCACCACATGCCACGCCGGCCCCGCCCCCAGGCCTGCCGAGCCGCCACCAAGTCTGGGTGTGGCGGCGCATGTGTGTAATCCGGGGCTGGAGAGACAGAAAACCAAAGGATCAGGAGGAGTCCGAGCTGTGTCACATGACCCTGTACGAAATAGTAAATAAATAAAGTATAACAAGAATAGGGGCTGGGGAGATGACTGGGGCCGGGGAGATGGCTCAGTGGAATAAGCGCTTCCCAGGAAAGCTCAAGGGCTTGAGTTCAATCCCCAGTTCCGCAGAAAAAAAAAACAAACACAAGAATATATAACAAAATATGAATATAAATGTAACAAGCACAAGTATAAATATTGCATGTTATTTATGTTGTATGTTCATATTATTCACATAAGTTTCCACATATATGAATCATATAAATATAATAAAAGCATGTGCATGTGTGTATTGTGTATAGCATATTTATATGTACGTGTACTTATTTTACATTTGCTATACATATTTGTATATTTACATGTTAACTAAATAATAAATGTAATTCATATACATATCAATGACAAATGTAATACAACAACACATCAGTTGTACTTTATTAAATCCGGTTCGTGTAGCATATGCAATAATATGAAATAAATATCAATATTAAACAAAATTGAGCCAGGATGTAGCTCAGCAGCACAGTGCCTGCCTCACAAGTGTGAGGCTGTAAGTTTGATTCCTGGTACCAAAAAGTAAAATTAGTGTGTTGTCATTAGACTATAAATATAAATATAAATATATATACACACGTGTAGTGTGGGTGCCTAATGCACGTATTAATGTTCATTATAATAAATCATGAGTGATATATTATTAAGCACTAGGCTTAGTGTTTACAACTTTATTTGTGATGCCTCCCTAAGTTAGGGACTTTTTTTTTTTTTTTTTTTCCAGTATTGGGGACTGAACTCGGGCCCCTGTGTTTGCCGGGCAAGCCTTTTTTTTTTTTTTTTTTTTTTTTTTTTTTTTTTTGTGGAACCGGGGATTGAACTCAGGGCCTTGTGCTTGCCTGGGAAGCACTTATTCCACTGAGCCATCTCCCCAGCCCCTACTTTTTCTACTGAGCTATCTCCCCGGCCCAGTAAGGGACTTTTTGTGTGTGTATTTTTTGTTTGTTTGTTTTTGGTGGTACCAGGAATCGAACTCAGAACCTGTGCTTGCCAGGCAAGCACTTATTCCACTGAGCTATCTCCCAGGCCTTTTTGTGCTTTAAAAAAAAAAAAAATTGGGGCTGGAGAGATGGCTCAGTGGTCTAAAGCACCTACTTAGAACAAGCTTGGCAAAGCACAGGGACTGCGGTTCGATCCCCCAGAACCACATGCCAGCCAGCCCTGCCCCCTGGTGGGCTGAGCTGGCCACATACACACACAATAAATAAATGTAATAAATAAAAATAAATAAATAATTAAAAAAATATTTTAAAAAATTATATTATTTATTTATTTGGTATAGTGTCTCCCTACACAGCTCAAACTTGTAGTGATCCTCCTGTCTCAGCCTCTCCAGCTGTGGGATTACAGGTGTGTGCCACCACGCCTGATCTTGGTGGCCTGCTTGGTGCAGGCTGACTCTGCACTGTACAGGGGATTGAATAGCTCTTCCCAGCTCTTGTATGTGTTTTTATTTCTTTTTTAGTTTTTTTGTTTGTTTGTTTGTTTTTTAACCTACAGGGGATGTGGGAAGGGCCCAGCTCAGCCCACCCTGGGGGTGGGGCTGGTGACCTGTGGTGTTGGGGATCAAACCTCAATTCCTGCACACTTGCCTAAGCAGGCACTTTAGACCACTGAGCTATCTAGCCAGCCCCTACTAGGGATTTAACCCAGGACTACACACTGAGCTACATTCCAGGCCCTGTTTTGACTTTCTTTTTTTCTTTTTTAAATTAATTTTATTGAGAAACAAATAGCAATGAGACAGTTTCAAAACAGATTAGTAGGACAGTTACAATAATTAATGCATTGCATATTGTTGTCTTCATAGTGGTTATTCATAGTACAAGATGCAGACATGATATCCTGTCCAAACACTATTAGTACAAATCTTTCTTCTCATTGAATTAAGAGAAAGTAGCAGTCCTGTTTTGACTTTGAGGCAGGATCTCACCAAGTTCCCCAAGCTGAGCCTCTGGAGTGCCGGGATGGCGGGTGTGTGGGCCACCGCCCTGCTGTTCCTCATTGCTGATGTGTCCCCAGGACCTGACACCATGGTCAGCAGCTAGGAGACAGGAGAGCTAGAAAGTATCACCGGCCACAGTGCTGCCCCCAGCCTCTAGGCACAGGGCACGGAGCACAGAGGTCATCGGCCACCTGCTCCAGGGCCAGGCAAGGCTCAGAGCTGCAGGTGCCCCAGCCCTGGGTCTCATCCCAGCACCAGAAGCAAGAAATCCTCCCCTTCCTGGGCTCACGCGGGAGGTCTCTGAAGCGGGCCAGGGCCAGCCCCGTGTGCTCGGTTTGGAATGGTGACAACAGTCGTGATACATTGTGATGAACTTACTGCTGATGTACCTTGGGAGACTTGAATTCTCAGGACCTGGAAATTCGCAACAGCTACCGTAGCAATCCCAGTGGTCTGGGAGGTTAAGGCAGGAGGATTGAAAGTTCAAACCCGGCCTGGAAAACTTAGCCACTTAGCCAGACCTTGCCTCAAAATACAAATAAAAAAGCAGGGATGGAGGTCTGTGTGAAGGCCCTGGGTTCAACCACCAGTACCAAAAAAACAAAATAAAAAAAGAGTTCTTGGGGCCCGGGAGATGGCTCAGTAGAGTAAGTGCTTCCCTGGCAAGCCCAAGGGCCTGAGTTTAATCCCCAGTTCTGCCCCCCCCCAAAAAAAAAAAGAAAAAAAAGAAAGAAAGAAAGAAAGAAAGAAAAAGAAAGAGTTCTTTGCACATCTGCCTCAGCTATAGGCCCTGCTCCCCCACTGAGCTACAACCCATCCCTAAAATCAAGAAGGGGTTTGTTTTGCTCTGTGTTTACAATACAGGAGACTGAGCAAAGCTTTGCACTGAGGTCGGTCCTGAGCCTGCTCTGGACTCTCACGCTGCCCTGGAACATTCGGATGCCACCCAGGGTTTGTGAAGCACCAGCTCCCGTGACTCGGGAGGGGCAGGGGTCCGGTCATGGTGCCAGTTTTGAGAAGGAAGTAAATGAGAAAAAGCAAAACCACAACTGGAAGATCAACAGTTGGCATAACAGGTGTGATTTAGACATGCGGAAATAACAGTCAGAATAGCAGAGGAGGGGCTTAGGGTGCTGGGGCACAGCGGGGGGCGCTGTCACGCTTCTGGCTTTCTTAAACCCATGACTCAAGGCTTTAACATGCACCCATGAAAAAATAAAATAAAACCTTACAGCTGCTTAAAGTGATACACGCCTCTAATCCCAGCTATTCGGGAGGCTGAGGCAGGAAATTGCTAAATTTGAGCCCACTGTAGGCAATTTAAGGAGGTCCTGTTTCCAAATATTTTCAAAAAGAACTGTGGGTTGTGCTTGGTAGTGAACAACCCTGGACTCCTCCCGCTCAGTACTACAAAAACAAAACCCTGGCAGAGTGTGGCAGCACACGCCTGTCATCCAACAGTTGGGAGGCTGAGGCAGGAGGATCACTGGAGATTGAGGCCAGCTTGGGCTACATAGGGAGATACTGTCTCAACAAAAACAAAATAAAAAATAAACTAAAGCAAAAAGAATCTGGAAAAAGAAAAAAAAAAAAGCCGTGGGGTGGAGGGGCAGGACAGGATAGGCAGAGAATGATGAAAACAGATCAGAACTAGTGAGATGGCAGCTTTTTGTCCCTTCCCTTCCCTCCCTAGCCCTATTTCTTTCTTTCTTTCTTTTTTTTTAAATTTTATTTATTTATTTATTTGTGTGTGTGGCCAGCTCAGCCCACCAGGGGGCGGGGCTGGCTGGCATGTGGTGCTGGGGATTGAACCGCAGTGCCTGTGCTTTGCTGAGCTTGTTCTAAGTAGGTGCTTTAGACCACCGAGCCATCTCACCAGCCCTCTTTCTTTCTAAAAAAAAAAAAAAAAAAACATTTTTTGAAGCAGGCTTTTTAAAATTGCTTTTATTTTAGGGAAGGGCCTACAGGGTGTTCAGGGTCTCACAACTAGATCGGATTTGCAGTAATCCGCCTGTTTGCAGCCTCCCAAGAGCTGGGATTACAGGCGTGCACCACCACGCCCAGTCTCCCTAGCCCCATTTCAAAGAGGGAAAGACCAAGGTCGCCAAAGTTCAATCGGCTGCCTGGCTTCTGGCGCCCCTGGTGGCCACAGTCGCAATGACCGTCGGCCGGAAACCAGCCAACTGGCGGGGCTGGGCCTCCTCGGCGCTGCTCTTCCTGTTCCATTCAAGCTCTCTGCATCTGCCCCGTGCCAGTTCATTCAAGCCGAGAGGGTATGTGAACCCGCTTCGTACCTCGCAGGGCTCTAGCGGCCCATGGCGGATACAGAGGCTGACCTTAAAGAGCAAACAAAGCCAGCATAAGGTACTTTCTGGGGCTAAAGGCTTACCAGAGACCCAGGTGTGGCGTAGGCCTGTGATCCCAGCCCACAGAGGGGAGGCTGAGGCAGGAAGGCTGCTGCAGGTTGAGGCCAAGCCTCGACTAGATACCCAGTGAGCTTAAGGCCAACCTCAACTATGTAGTGAGACCCTGTCTCAAGTCAATGAATAAATATACAATGAACTTGAAAAATATTCGGACCCCCCCTTCCAGAATAAAAGACCCCATGGAGTAGGGGGACCAGCTCTGAAGGGCAGCACTATGGACACCCTGAATAACGTCAAATTTTCAGTCTTGGAAATGAGCCTAAGAAGCAGGAACTAGTGCCCACTTTCTATGGTTTTGTCTTCAGCAGCACCTAGGATGGAACCCAGGCCGCACGCGAGCGAGGCAAGCGCTCACCACCCAGCTGCACCCCAGAACTTCTTTCTGCCTTTGAGCCAGGGTGTCCCTAAGTGGCTGAATCACCCAGGCCAGCCTTGAACTCATGGCGATCCTCCTGCCTCAGCACCCCCCATGTCCCCCTGTGCACCACCACACCGACCTCTGTGCCTTCCCAGGCTGTGTCTGGGTGTCCCCAGCCTCTGGGCCAGCAGGGGTTAAGACCGGTGGCTCCCACGTGAAGTAATAGCACCTTGCGACAGAGACACACGCCCCGCGCTGGAGGCCACCCTCACGCCTGCCAGCCTGCCCGCCCACCGCTGCCTGTGCACATTTTCACAGGCCCCGCTCGGAGAGGGACCTGTTCACCTGTCGCTACCACGACAGAGAGCAAATTGGGCCAACAGGTCAGCCTGCTCGAGCTGCAGGTTGGGGTCCCCGTCCTGCTGCCTATGGGAGGCGGGGACCCAGGTCCTGGCTCCTCTTGCTTACCTGGAGTCCACGCACCCTGCTAGCCAGGTGAGTCGTTGGCCCCCAAAATTATTCCAATGGGGCTCCCCCCACTCGGGGCCTGGGGACCCCAGATGGCCTCACCCTCGGCTCCCGGGAAGCTGGAAGCTGCCCCCTGCGTGGGCAGGGACGTTGTCTCTGAGGACTCAACCAGCTTGGCGCAGCTGGCAGCTGCCCAGGATGCAGCCGGGCCTTGAAAGGGTCATTGTTGGCGCAGGTGGTAGGGGCGGGAGAAGGGGTTCGGGTTGCTCTCCGGCCCCCAAGTGGGCCAGCAGGGGGTGGCAGCAGACACAGTTGGCCTGCACTGGTTTGAGCCTCTGGGGTCTTTCTGGGGACCCCATGTTTCCAGAGGGTGGCACAGACTCGGAGGAAACCCGAGGAACTCCAGGTGAGATTTGCTTATCTTCAGCAGCAAAATCTCACAGCTGAGAAATGCGGAGGGGGTGCCTGCCACCCCAGGAGGGCAAGGGACCCTCCACTCTGGAGAGAGCACGGCTTCGGTGACGGGAGGCTTTTCTGGGTCATTGGCTCCCAGAGAGGACAAAGGCAGCTTCCCAGAGAGGCCAGTGTCCGATTGCATCTCAGGCCTCTGTCTAACCCCAAGAAAGGCCTCTGTGAGCAGTGGTGGGGGCACACACCTGTCTGCTCAGCACCTGGGAGGCTGAGGCAGGAGGGTCGCTGTGAGTTTCAAGGCCAGCTCGGCTACATAGGGAGACCCTGTCTCAGAAAACCAAAACAAAGGAAGGGGAGCAGCCCAGTGGCTGGGGGAGGGAGATGGCACCAAAGCCACCCTAGGGCACTGTGGCCTCGGGGTGCAAGTGTACTTGTGGGCAGCAGCCATGGTGGGAACTTCTCTGCTGTTGGAGAGGGACAGGTAGGTTGGCTGCTTTTCTGTCCGAGTCTGTTTGTGGCTTTGTCTGATTGGGACCCCAAGTCACTGTGTCACTGAACTGGGAAACAAGTAGATTCTAGGTCAGGCGGGGTCACAGTCAAGCGCCCCACCCAAAATCAGAATGCAGAGCACAAGGTGCTGTCCCACCCAGACTCTCTGTTCTGCATGGGATAAGCCCAGGGCTCAGAGAGGGGCATCCACTCCCTGGGGCTGCACAGCAACGGAGTGAGAATGTCAAACAGACTGGGGGTTTGGCAGGAAGGTCTGGAGGCCACCCGGGAGCAGCGCCTGGAGCAGCAGGCCAGGCTGGGCGTGCAGGAGAAAGTCCACCCAGCCACAGGCTTCCGGCCTCCTCCCGGGCTTGGCAGGGCGCCAGGGGGCCGAGTTGTGTAGGGCGGAGCCACCAGGTTCATGGCAGCCTGGGGGCGGGGAGCGCCTGATATTTGCACACTTGGGGCTCCACAATGAGCTGGGGAGACCCAGACCCTTCCTGCTGCTGTGGGCCCATGGGGGCTCGGGGGAACATGGACGAGAGAAAACCCCCGGGCGTGGGGGCATTCAGTGTTGTCACTCCAGAGCCTGAGGCAGGGGGATCTGAAGTTGGAGTCCAGCCTGGACAACTTAGCAAACCCTGTCTCAAATAAAAAATAAAAATGTCTGGGGATGTAGGTGAGTGGTGAGCTCTTGACTAGAGGGTGCGAGGAGGTCCTCTTGCACAAAGGGTCCTCTCCAGCCTCAAGGGGAGAGTGAGAGAGAGGCACTGTGGCCACACCCCAGCACTCTGGGAGGCTGAGGTAGGAGGATCTCAAATTGGATCTCAGCCTGAGCAACTTAGCAATTTATTTATTTTTTTTTTGCGAAACTGGGGATCGAACTCAGGCCCTTGTGCTTGCCAGGGAAGCACTTATTCTACTGAGTCATCTCCCCGGCCCCAAACTTAGCAATTTAAACTCTGTCTCAAAATCAAAAAGGCCAGGGTACAGCTCAGTGTAGAGGCCCTGGTTCTTCCCCTAACACCTTCCTTCCCCTGCAGAAAAGGCAGCATCAGCTCAACCACAAAGCAGGTAAGGCCTTGAGACACGCCCCCAAGGCAGGGGCCACGCAGAGATCTCCCGGTCCTGCAGGGCTTTGGAGAGCTGGGCAGAGTGACTGCGGACATCAGACAGGAACGGGGGCTGTCGGAAGGATGTTGGGGCTTGGGCTCTCCCACCAGCTGGGTATTCAGATGTGGGGTGTAGACCCCTTGAGCAGGCAGGGGGAAGGGTGGGGGTGGGGAAGGGGGTCCTAGGTCACCTGTTTTTCCTGCTGGGACCTCTGCTCCTGCCAGGGGACCCAGAGAGCTTTGTGGGGCACGTAGCCTGCACAGGGTCTGCGGCCACAGCTTCTGTGTGGGTGCCCAGCCCCCTGTATGCCACCCCAACACCCTCGGGCCTCAGAGCCTCTTCCCACCGACTCCTGCCTGGCTCTCACAGCTACACACTGGGCTGTTTTCCCACCCAATCTCTACACTCTTGCCTGCACACCCAAACCTCCCAGAGCTCCCTGAATCGGACACCCCCACCTAGCCATTAGCAAAACCCCGCAGCAGGACAGTCCCAAAGCACCACCTGGCCAGTCCAGTTCTCAGGGCATCCTGAGGAGGACAGGACAGGGCAGGGCAGGAAACACTAATGCGGTTGACATCACCATCTTGTATTAGTGTCCGTTTCTTTTCTTTCTTTCTTTTTTTTTTTTTTTTTTTGGAACCAGGGATTGAACTCAGGCCCTTACACTTGCCAGGGAAGCGCTTATTCCACTGAGCCATCTCCCTGACCCCTAAGTGTCCGTTTCTTAGTTTTCCTTCTTATATTGAGGTCTTAGATTGATTTTCTTTTTTTTTTTTTTTTTTTTTTTTTTTTTTTGGCAGGGCCCAGGGCTTTTTCACTGAGCTACATCTCCAGCCTTTTAATTTTTTTTATTTTTTGGGCCGAGGAGATGGCTCAGTAGAATAAGTGCTTGCCTGGCAAGCGCAAGGGCCTGAGTTCAATCCCTGGTTCTGCCAAAAACACAAACAAAATTTTTTTTTTATTTTTCTATTTTGAAACAGGGTCTTCCTAAGTCTTTAAGTTGCCCTAGATGGGCTTGAACTTGCAATGCTCCTGCCTCAGCCTCTCACGCAACAGGGGTGAGCAGCCAGCCCTACCACGCCCAGCTTGGTTTCTTTTTGACCAATATCCCCCCGGGAGCAATTGAAGATGCACAGGACTGGGAAAATTGAGGACGGAGTATGTGAGACTTCTCTGTATAGTTGCTACTCTGCAAAGTTAAAGGTATTCCCACATTTAAGACTGGGCATGGTGGTGCGCACCTGTAATCCCAGCACTTGGGAGGCTGTAAACTCAAAGATCACTACGAGTCTGATCTACCCAGTAAGACCCTGTAGACCCTGTCCTCAAAATAAATATAAATAAATAAATAAAAGTATTCCCAAGTTTATTAAGAATAAAATAGACTGCTAGGCAAGGTGGCCCATGCCTGTAACCCTAGCATTCAGGAGGCTGAGGCAGGAGGATCTCTGCGTTGGAGGACAGCCTGGGATACACAGTGATTTCAAGACCAGCCTGAACTACATAGTGAGCCTCTTTCAAAAAACCCAAAACATAGGCCAGGCGTGATGGTGCATGCCTGTAATCCCAGCACTTGGGAGGCTGAGGCAGGAAGATAGCCAAGAACTCAAGGCCAGCCTGACCTATATAGCGAGACTCTGTCCCAAAAAGAAAAACCAAACAAAAATAATAATAATGACATAACCTCCAAGCCAACAGCAATCTCTGGCCCAGCCTGGGCACCTTGGTGATTGAGGGAGACCCAATTTCAAAATAAAATAAATAGGGGCCCGGGAGATGGCTCAGTGGAATAAGCGCTTCCCTGACAAGCGCAAGGGCCTGAGTTCAATCCCTGGTTCCACCAATAAATAAATAAATAAATAAATAAATAAATAGGGCTGAGACTAATTTGGTGCAAAGACCTTGGACTTCAGCCCCTATACCACAAAATAAATAACCATGTAAATGAATAATAAATAAAATAATCTTACCAAGCACAGCAGCGTATATCTGGGACACAAGCACTCTGGGAGGCTGAGGCGGGAGGATCACCAGTTCCAGCCCAGTCTGGGCAACTGAGTGACTTAGTTAGACCCTGTCTCAGAATAAAAACTAAACGAGCAGGAGCGCCTCAGTGCGGAGGCCCTGGGTTCATCCCCCTGTGAGGCAGCAGAGCAAAAGAGAAAGAAGGGCCAGCGGGCTGGCGGCCCTGGGGCTGGGCTCCCTGCCTGTCCCACATTCTGTCCCTTGCTGAACTCGGTTTTCAGGGGTTTGCAGGAGCCCTTGCTTCTCCAAGCTCAGCCTCCCTTTCTCAGTCTGTCCTTCCCACAGAGGCCACCAGGGGGCGCCGCGAGCGAAGAGCCCGGTTCTCCCTCTGCCCTCTGCCCTCAGTCCCCCAGGGCTCCCACCTCCCTGAAGCCGAAGCCCAGGTCCCCCTTGCAGCCCGCAGGGCCCTGCGCTGACGCCCATTCCCTCCCGACCTTCCCTGCGCCCGCTCTGTCCCTCCTCCCTCTGCTTCAGCCACGCCAGCTTCTCACGGCTCCAGCACCTCACTGGGTTCTGTCCTGCCCCAGGGCCTTTGCACAGCTCTGCAGAACTGCCTCCAGCCTGTCAGCCCCCCTCTTGCCTTCTTTAGCTTTGAGGGCTCCCTTTCACCCAGGGTCACCCCTAATAATATTCATCCCCTGGGTCACCCCCTCAGGAGCCTCTCCCAAGCTAGGGGCTTCAGGGAATTCAGTGTGTGCTTCTGTGGGGGAAGGGGATGAGCCAGGGTGTCACTCTGTAGCCCAGGCTGGCCTTAAACTTGTGATCTTCCAGCCTCGGCCTCCCGAGTGCCAGGATCACAGGCGTATGGCTCCACGCCCTGCTGCTTGTTTGCCTGTGTGACTGTCCCGCTCGGACCAGTGCTCCTGCTGGGGCGGGGCTGTCTCTCTCCTTAGGGTCCGTTCTTCACAGTCAGCAGCCCTGGCAAGGCATGTAGTGGGTGCTCAATAAATACCAAAGGAGCAGGCCAGCGCAGGCTCCTCGGACAT